TAAACAACTCTTTTTAATAACCTGTTACAAATTAAAACATTGACACTGAAGCAAATTTCATTATAGGAGCAATTGATTTCTTGAAGTATCAACTGTTTTTCCTGATTTGGAAGGAATCCTACTGGAATCATCTTTTAAATACTACAATTATAAATTTCAACTGCTTAAGCATATGAATTTCATTATTCTCTTTGCCTAGGCAGCTTCAAAATTAATATTGCTGAAAGTGCTTTTGTGAGGGGCTAAAATAGATTGTCTTTCTCTTCATTCCTGATGATAAAATTGATTCTCATAAAATATGGAGTATTTTTGGCTCTTGTTTTTCAGGATTTTTTTTTTTCTTTTCGGTTTTGACCCATAAGAATTTTTGGAGCACTGTATTTCAAGTAAAACTATATACACATAATTGAGAGCATAAAACCTGGTTTTGTACATTTTTTTTAATCACAGAAAAGAGTGTATCATTCAATTAAAAACAATAGGTTATGAAGAGAGAAAAATGGGAAAATGTTCTATTTTTTGGAGTGAGATTTAATGCCAATATAAGGAAATATCACAATGCTACCCATCCCATTGAAACATCACAAGACAATACTATTTTGCTCATTTTGTTCCTTAAAAGAATTCTTGGACTGATCCCCTGTGATTTTTATGACTTCGTAAGTTAAAAAGTTTTCTAACACTTTAAAGTAGTATTTCAAATTATTCTTGCTGCTTTTCCTTATTCCAAGAGACTTTTACCAATCAAGTACCAATTTGCAGTGTACAACCCACTCAGTTTGTTTTAAATGCATCCATATGTATAACTTAGCACTGAGTACCTCACAATCATCTGGAAAAAAAAGTTTTTATGAAGCGATTAGGAAAATAATTGCCTATTAAAAAGGTGAAGATTGGTTTGAGCAGGGAAAGAAGAAACTGAACTTTGAAATTGAAAGCATTCATTGTTAGTAAGAAACATATGCACCAAATCTGAAATTAGAGAAAACTCATGAAATACGTATCTTGGCAAGGGGGATTGTTTGAATTCTCTAAAGCTGTCAGCCCATTTTCTCTATTTTTTTTTTCCTGTTAAAGAAAAACTTCAAATGGAAAGCTTCACCTTTTGTGCAAAGTTGAAATGTTTCATTATTGCAGGATTGTTCTACACTGTACAAAACCAGAACAATTCAGTAGCTTCAGGGATGGGGGGCCACAAATGAGGAACTTTCTGTCATTTAAAAATGCCCAAAGCAATGCAAAAATAAGTGTAAAAATCTCTGGTTGTTTCCTTGAGAAAAGAATCTTTTGATTACAACAGTTATTTGAATACCCATTCAGATTCTTTTGTAACATGTTGTAATAAGTGCACATCTAAATGAAGAATATTCTTGAGAGAACAAAACTCAAACATAAACTATGTTTAGCTGTTGCATTTCATTAAGTTACTCTATAGAATTAAACAAAATTTAGTTTTTAAATTCTTTTCTCCTTCTTTCTTTCTCTCCCTCCTCCTTCCTTCTCTTTCTTTCTTTCTTTTCCTCTATAAAATAAGTTCCCCAAAGCATAATTTAGGTTGCACTTTTTTTTCTTCTTATTGGTGTTTATACAATATATTTTTTGTTAGTTTCAAACATATAGAATGTGAAAAGTAGTTGGCAAATGACTTTGGGTATTAAGGGGGATGAAGTATAAAAGTTACTTCGAGAAGAGAATTTTTCTGTTATTCATCTGCCTACCATATCAGACTCTTCAAAGTATAATTAGATGGATTTTCATTTTTTAATATTCTAATTTAAAAAAAAACACTAGTCGGATACTAGTAAAACTATATGTCATATCCACGGGCATTTGAATCCTATATGGGAAAAAAAAAAAAAAACCTTTTCTGCTCCTCACATAATCATATTGACAACCATACAGACACCACTGGGGCCAGCATGAGTAGTAGTTCGTGTCTTTTACCGTGTTGGCTCCAGAAGTCTTTTATAATTGTAATCAGTTTCTTCATCAGACAGCACTGTGCCAACACCCCTAATTAGCCATAGTCCTATTTTAAAAATTAAGAACAGCCCACATGCAATAACATCAACAACAACAACAACCACCCCTCAAGCCCCAAGCATATTCTTTGTGTGAACTCACTCTATGGAGCAGTTGCATCCACCTCCTGGGCTCTGACCCACGTGGCATCCTTGGTGTTAATCAACTTCCCAAATGGGAGGTGCACACACATTCAGAGCAATAGACCCCATTCTGGTGTTATCAAACTCTAGTGTCATTTTTATATTTTCATCTTTCTTTTTAAAGTGACACACAGAGCTGAAATAGCCTCATTTTTTTTTTGTACTGCTAAACAGACTGCCCACCAACTAAAGCAAACGGTAATATACAAAATAAAAAGTGATTAGAGGTAGAACAGGTTCATTGCAAGATAGTTTCAAGTTGCTTAAATGAGTTCCACATTCAATTAGACTTTTCTTTTCCTAGGAGTTAAACTCTTATAGCCCTTGGGAAAGTGAGCAATGACTGCATTGAAAAGCATAAACCATAAATAAAACAATATGACAAGTCTTGAGATGCTTTAGTTTTTATGGATCTTAGAATTCACTAAGAATTTTTATGTCTTACAATGGAGGTATAGGTATATGTACAGAGACGGGTACTATTCTTTTTATTATATTCAGTTTTTCTTGGGCTTTAATTCTATCTTGGGTAATGTCATGATCTGAAATTTGGGAAAATTTATGTGACGTCAAACACAGACTTCAGCAAATAAAAGGTGGATGAAACAGGTTTATTAATGCCTGCCATGTGTCTTACCTGGGCAGGTAGCCATCAATGTCTGCTTCAAGTGCCTGGTGTCTGCAGGTAAAACCAAATTGTGTATGCTTTCTCCTTTGTGCCACGTGACCACTTGTTTTTATTCATAAATAATGACTGAACTGCAAGTTCATTTGCTCTAGAATCCAGGAGTATCTTGAATCTGTTTTATAAATTACCTATCCTTCCACCATCACAGAAAATAATATTTTCTTATTGTTTATTTCAAGTGATCAACAATGAGTATTCTCTTCATGTTTTTTTATTTTTAATAGCAGGGATATTATACTTAAGATTTTCTCTCCAAATATAAACATAGAAAAATTTATGTTATAAACCATGCTTTGTATAGGCTTCTACTTCTTTCTTTGAACTACTATTTTTTTTCATATTATTCAATGCATCATCTTTTGAAATAAATTTAATGTAATATCTAAAATTTAAAATTAGTTACTACTTTTAAAGATACTAACATGTACTAAAATGTAATAGTGATAGTCTTATACTATTATTTAAAATAACAAAGGAGTAAGCTATATACAATATTTCTATAGCTAGCTATTCTACCATGAAGAGTTATATATCAATGTAAAGAAGCCATGTGGAAATAGAGTAATCAAATATGCCTAATTAAATTTAAAATTATATAGATAATATTTGCTAAAAACAAGAAAACAATATGGCTCTAAAATTCTATTTTGAAGGCTTATTTTTATTTTACAATTCAACTTTTGTTCTAGCAATAACTTCTAACAAGCTCAAGATGTGAAGTGTTAAGTGAATTATTAAGACAGAGAGCCTAGAGTATGACCACAATGAAAATATCAAAGGTATAAAAACACCCAATCAGGGCATGTGATTTTGGTTAACATAGTGGATGCAGGTGATTCTTAAGGATGATTTTTACTTGTGCAATTTTGCCCTCTGGTTTTACTTCTTCCTGTGATCGATTCCCAGGCAAAGCCAGAACTCTTCAGGAGAAGGTTGAGATTAAAACAATGTCAGCATTTGCTTTTAGCAAAGTGATGAGGTTATCAATAATGCATTGGAGATCTTGGGAACCTTGGACATATGTGCATCACAGCTGCCCTGCATTTATTGCATTTATAGTAGGACTTGCAGGTTTGAGCTGAGATGTCACCACATCTGTGTTTGAACCAGCCATTGACACAGACTCAAGAAATCTTGGGGGCATGGGGAGAACTGCTGAGATTATTTAACTGAAACATTGCAATGGAAGAGGTTATTTAGGAATGAGAATACATCTATGAAATTGCTTTTTTACAGAAGACTATTCAATACTCCTTTAATAACCTTTTGTCGCCACATCTCCTTTCTAATGTTTATAAGTTTTGTTATTTCCCCGACAAGTTTATTCATATCTTAACAGCTTGTCTGGCAGCAGGGTTCATGTTCTATACTTTGGCTTTCTGGTCACGGTGGTGGCTGAGAGTAATGGAGAGGGGGAATAAGTGAGTGTGGAAATGCAAAGCTGTCTCTTGTTACATTTTATCGATCTCATTCTGGTGTCATTCAATTAAGACAGAAATGTGATGGATAGTCTCTGCACAGATTCCTGGGTTGCTCTCCATCCATTGCAGATAAAGCTTTTGTGTTTTATTTTGGGGGAAGGGGTGGGGGAAAGGGCATAGGCAAGTGGGAGAAATCAAAGATGCTCTGTGATCTGAATTACAAATCAATGTCTCTCCAAGGATGCTCCAAAATGTCAAACATGCCATGTTTATATTTTCATATACACAGAATATACATCTGTTGATGTATGAGATGGCTATTAAAATTTAAGGTGGTTTAATTCTTGTTTATTTATTTTCAAAGACTTATGAGCTAACATCATCCTTCAACCAGACTAAGATAAGGAAAAATAAACCACACACACACACACACACACACACACACACACAAAAGACTTGAAGTACACTGGTGCCATATTTGAAGTTTGTAATAATGAGAAATTACCTTGTATTTTTTCATGGGTCTCTAATTCTAGGTTGACCTTTTTGCAAATAGATTATAAAGCTGCTAAGATGAAATTGTAGGTAATGTATTTTTTTAGTAAATAAATGAATCCTCCTTGTTATTGCCTATACTGTCAAGAAATATGCTATCTTGAGCAAACCACTGAAATCCAGGCCTGAATAATTCTCTTCCTTTCTTTTCATGACATGTTTTTTCTGAAGTCTATCACTACCTCTATTTGCTGCTAATGTTACATCACGAGTGACAGGACTCCATAGATTTGAGAAGCAATAAAACGAGGAACTTATGTAAGAAATGTGATTTTATGAAAAGACATTAAGAACTGAAAACAGATATCATAATAGTAAGTAATGCTAAATAAACAATTTTGTTTCCTCCCCAAACAATGCCAGATTCAAATTGAGGACTCTTCATTTTTTTTAACCAACTTTATGAATGCTGATACTTAGTCCAAAATTAAAACAAAAAAAGTTACAAAACTATCTTTAAAAACTTTAATATAAGACAAATATGCTAATTTCAAAGCTTCTGTATTATTTGTATGTGACTTTGGATCAGAATGCTCTTTAAGCCTGAAGTTCATTATCTGCAAATAATAAACACAATTACTGTGAGAAATATGAGACTAAGAATATGGAAATCCCTACTTCATGCTTATCCTATGTACTTGGCACATGGGAAGCATCAAACACATTTTATTTCATCCTGAATACCCTTTATGGTTTTGACACTGAGTAATTTGGTCCTATAATCAGTATGTGCAGTCATTTGGGAAAGGAATGTAAGCAATGAAAAATAGCACACTTGGGCCCTGCCACTGTAGGTCAAAAATTTTCCAGATCTAATTCACAGGAGTGAATTTACCAATATGTATGGGATTTTAGTAAACAAATTTCCAATTGTTCACTAACATTTTTTTCTAAAATTTCACTTATGAAAGGAACTCTGTAGATCAGGTCTTAATCTGAGTGTGGACAAAGTTATAACTATCATGCTTTCATCCTGAAATTAAATATCAGCAGTTGGTTAAAGCAAATATTAACTGATTTTACAAAGGTTTAAGGACACATGGATATGAATTATTATCATGAGACTTTAATCTTTAATTATAACTCACATTGTAACCCACTTGAATAAGTTAGAAAAACATTGGTGCATGTATAGCCGTATAAGTGCTGTGGAAAATAAAATGTATAGCTATGAGTTGGGATCTTTCTTCCTTTTTTTGATTTTCTTTTATTAGTTTGGTTCTAAAGTCATGCATTTTTTTTTAAAATAGGGTATTTAAAGAATTCTGTCTTCATGAATCAAAGCTTACTTCAAATATACATCAATGTATAACTAATACCTCTTTGAAAAATGCATATATAAGGGATAGATAAAAAGTAAAGGATTTTTGTTCCATGATCAAAAACAAAAACATGGGCTATCTCTGGTAAAGGAAAGGTTTTATCTTAAATTTTGCACTCGTGCATGCTCTCTCTCTCTCGTCTACTTTGTGTGTCCTAAGACTGCTCCATGCATTCTTGCTGAAAGCTATTAATACTTTGGTTGAAGATGTAATGAGTTACCATATTTCTTCTGTTTCCCACAATCATTGTGGACTCTCCAGAATTACTTGGTAATGAATTCATTTATGCTTTTGAAGATTTAATACAAATCACTCATCATAAAATGTGCATATGGCACTTCTTGATATCCAAGACACTAATCATCATTTTCTCAATAGAACAGGAATCATGGTGGCATGTTGACTCATTCTTATACCTTCAAAGGTAGTTTGAGTCTTATCTGGGGTGGGATGCTTCTTCACTCCCTTGAATTCAGGAGATGTTACTCAAAAACAACTTTCTAAGATGTACTACATTTTATAGCTGATGAAATTTAAAATATTCTACAAGGTAGGCTTAAAAATGTTAATTAAAATTTATAAAATTCACAGAAATATAGAATCCTAGTTTGGGACCTTATTTTATAAACTATGACTTCCAACATTCAATTCCAAGAACACTCATAACCTAATATTTGTGGCAATATTGCCTCCCTTAAATTCTAGAAGAAATGTTGTCATGGAATTTTCTAAGATAGTTAGGCATTGGTTACTCCTTATGTATTATTTTCTTTAAAAAAATATTTTGCTAACTTCAGATGATGTTGAAAACCTTGTTGTTGATACTTTGCATCTCTTTACAGTCTAGCTTTCTAATAAGAATGTAAGCATATTGTAAAGAAAAAAAGAATTTCAGATGCTCAAAGATCGTTCAAATAGTCATGCAAACTCAATACTGAATATTCTCAGGAAACAAAATGCTGCTATATTCTTCTCCATTTTCTTCTGTTCATCAAAGGGATTTGAAGGATGGTGCCATCCTTAGATACTAACAGTTTCTTCTCTTTAACATTTAAACATACATTCTGCATCTATTGTTGAATTAACATGATGTTCTAGGTATTGTGTTGCATGCCAGGTATGATCAATTTCAAGTTTATAAATCATATACAAGCTCATAATAATTTTATAAACACTTTGTGTTTATTATCTGTAGAATTCAGAATTTTGTTGAATACCTGCTTTCCTTCATTTCTCTGTCATTTTCTTCGTGTTCTTAAACACACACACACACACACACACAAACAAAAACAACAACAACAACAAACACTGTCCTTTCTACATGGCTTTCTGGCCATATCAACTTGGTTTAAGATCCTTCTTCAATAGTCTACTACCACATATCTCAAATAGATGGTGGGGGGCATTAAACTCTTTTTCAATAAATGTTTGTTAAGGTTCCAGTTTAAAACAACTTCAATTTGCTATTCTGCAACTAAGACTAATTCAGTGAAATTCATTGGCTCATTCTCATCCTCTTTCCCTCTCTTTTCTGTTTATATACTTTCCTTATCTCTTCCTCTCTAATCGTCTTAGAAACACTTTGGGATCATAGCATTGGAGTATTAGATTTGATATGAACTTTAGTGAATACACACTTTATGTATTCATAGTTGAAGATCGTTGGCCCAGGAAAGTTACCAAGAAATCACAGAGAAACTTCAGGAAATGCCTTTTCCCTATGGAAAAAATCTAGGTGCCATAGTCAACCCACTTGTTTTATCTTGAAATTTTCAAGGAGAGTTCCTTGTCTTGATTCATCTTTCTTTCCACAGTGCCTGGTGTACTGGAAGAAGTCAACTTATATTTGTGGAAAGAATCAGAAACTTCATGTTATATTTGAAGATGTTTTCATCATAAGATGATTTACATTTCATCTTCCCAAGTACAGAAGTGTTAATTTTTCATTCCTCTGAGCAAAAAGAGGAATTTTAATGTTTCAAAATCATGTTCTGATAATCTTCATGGCATACTGTCATTTCAGAGGAAGGAAAGAGGGACCCTGTTTTTCTGTTTCCCCTCAGAGCACTTATTAAATGATTAGAATTAAAATCAATATTCTCATGGCTTTTATATTGACAAAAGGTACGACCAAGCTATTCACTGAGCAATTCTTTATGAGGGTTTCTGGAGGTCTGGAACATGGAGAAATTTGATAAACCATTTTCATAGTGGAAGTTTAAGTGATACTCTGATAAGAATATAAGATGTACCCAGAATCACACACATTTAAAAAGATATGCAAAATGACAAATTTTTCATGCTGACAAACATTCTCATTATATATTCACCGAAATCTCATCCCTTATTTCTCATTTTATCCTATATACAGTTATTTGTTTGCTTGCTTGTTTTGATTTTAGTCATTAATGAACAGAATATCAGCAATTTGACTGTTCACTTAAATTACTTAGTTGAGTATTGAACCAAATTTGTTTCTCAACACCAAACACAGCAAGCATTCTAGAAGACTAACTCTTAACAGATTGAATCAAAAGGGGAGGAAAGCAAAGTGGAATTACCTGGACAAGTTGGACCATGGAATAGAGGGGACAGAAATGAGGCCATTCTTTTTTCAACAGTGACTTGGAAAAAAAATAATTTTGATGTTTCTGTTCATAGTTAGAGATATCTTGAAATATACACATGAACTTCTTGGCTCATTTCCTCTTGTGTTAGAGTGTTCCTGCTGTTTTTGCACTCAAGCAGGTTTAAAAAGAGAAAGACTCATTGTTTTAGTCTGCACCTCAATTGGGTCAAAGTATTCTAGGTCTCTGTTTTTCAGAAAGCCTATTTGGTTATCTATCTAAGGGTAAAGAAATTCTAGAGAATACTTTCTTTTTTAAAAAAAATATTTATTTTTTAGTTGTAGTTATACACAATACCTTTATTTTATTTATTTTTATGTGGTGCTGAGGATAAAACCCAGGGCTTCCAACATGCTAGGCAAGTGCTCTACCACTGAACCATAACCCCAGCTCAAGAATTAATTAATTTTCACAAATTCAAGTTAATAGGACACTCACTGACAGATAAAGAGAAAACTGTATTGCATAAGTGGAAATATATATTTATTAGCTTTTCAAAAGATTTTCTTTCCAGAATAGGCAATTTAAGAAACCATATTAGTATTTGTATGACACTTACAGATTATAAAAGTAAAATAAACAGTATACCTTAAACCTAATGATTATCACTAGAATTTCCAGTCAACTGGAAAGGAATTCTTAATTTGGTTAGTGGAAAGTTTCCTTCATACTGGACTATATATTATCTTCCCCCAATTTTGTATTTATGTAAATTAATAGTTTTTACATATAAAATAAATCATGGAAATATTTGGTATAGTTCAAAACAAACAAACAAACAAACAAAAAACTGAACAAAGTAAAATTCCCCCCAAAAAACCAAACTAGTTAAAAGCAAAACATGTCACTGTTGGACACACATGTATGTTTCAATCCCATCTTAGTATATTTTCTGTTGCTATGACAAAACACCTGAGGCTGGAAGTGTATTCCTTTGTGAATAAGGATTACTTATCTTATTGTTTTGGAGGCTGAAAGTCCAAGATTGGGTGGGCCCATTTGTTTGGCTTCTGATGAGGGCCTTCTGGCTGTGTCAGCACATGACAGATAGCATCACTGTAGGAGTGTGTGCAAGAGGAAGAGACTGGACTATGAGTGAGGCTTTTTCTTTTTCTAATAATTCATACTTTGAAAAATTAAGTGTGATCTTTGGAGAACAACATTAACTCCTTCAGAGGGTGTGCCCAATGACTTAACTGCATTCAAGTAGGCTTCACCTCTTAAAGGTTCTAATACCCCACACTGGGAACCAAACTTCAAGCACATGAACCTGTGGAAGATGTAAACCATATGCAAGCCACAGCATTTCATTTGTTTATTCATTTGTCTGTTTTTGTCTTAGCAAGCAGTAGTTTACCTAGTGTTATAGTTGGTTTTCTGTTACTGAGTGCAGAAATGGACTGGCAATGACTTTCTACTATTTTTCACCTCTTATAGGTCCCACCACCTCTTAATATTGCCACATCAGGGACCAAGCTTCTAACACATGAGCCATTAGCATATAAAGCACATCCAAACCATAGCACCCAAAGAAGTTTCAAAGGCAAAATGAAGTTGAATTAGATTACCTATAATATTGGTTCCAGAATTAGCAGTGTATGATTTTACAAATATATGCAAAAGTCCCCATTCAATAATACTATTTTATAACCTTTGTGAATTTTGGTAGGTAGGCTTTCTATTTTTTTTTCAATCAACATAAATTAATCGAAGTCTTATTGTGTGTGCATTTTTTTTTTTTTTTAGCAATGAGTGTGCAAAAGTCATCCCTTTTTACCTTGAGCAACTTAAAATCATGCTAGGTAGAACAGACCTAGAAATAAAAGGGAAACTAAAAATTGTAAGTTGGTTCTAAGTGTTAAGAAAGTGAAACAAATGATATCCTCTTTAGAATTTCAGGATTTAGGTTGTTTTTCCTATGTGACTTGAAGCAACCAGAGAAAGATTTTTGGAAGAAATGTTTTTAAAAATGGTTCTGAAAGAAGGAGACAGATAAACAAGCAAAGAAAAATATCCTAGAAAAATGCTTTTCTCTGTTCCTAACTGTAGGAACATGAGAAAGTATTCATTACAGATGGGGGAAACGGACCCACTAAAGATTGCCTTTGGACATCACAGGGCAAAAAGAAAATTAACATTCATTGAAAAATTGTACTCTGATCTTAATAACTGGTTTGATGATCAAATCAAACTGTGTCTCAAAGAATAAATATGTAGCTATGATATAAAACATTAAGGAAACTTCAGTATTTGCATGTTGATCAGGAGGGTAAATGCATACATATGTAGTTTTTTTTCCCCATATCTCGTATGCATTCATGGGAAGTGTCTATAAGTGCCTCCTAGGTCTTTCCTGATATAGCTGAAAATGTTCCAGAACTCCTAATTTCTTGCCCCCCCACTCCTAAAATCTTGCTTTTCTCTAATTGTCCTGTCTCAGTAAATGGCACCAACTTCTGTTAGTACCTGAAGTGTAAAATCTAGGTGTGATCTTGGATCCTTCTTGTTTTTCAACCAACATTTTCATCTAAGTCCTGCCAACTTGACTTTCAGCTCTGTCTGGTATAACCACTTCTCCCAACCTCCAGGACTTGCCACTTTTTCTTGAAACACTGTCATCAGCTAAATAGTTTCCTAACTGCCATTTCTGCTTCTATTCTTCTTCCCCTAGAAATAATCTTCCTCAAATCAGTTGGAGTTATTTTTCAAAAATGTAAATTCGGTAGAACCCATTTATAGTTTCTCATTAGAGGAACATTACAACTCCCTACCCTTGCCTACTTGAGCTTGCATCATGAGACTTCAGCTTGAATTTCTGATTTCAACTCCCACTATTCATTCTCCCCTTGAGTATCCCATCTTAGTATGTTGACCTTCAAGAAGTTCCTCTAACATGCCTTGGTTTGTAGCCTAAGGGCTCTACACTTACTTATTTTATCTGCTTGAGAACCTGAACCTTCCTGGCTTTCTTCTTATTATATCAGACCATCACTAAAACATCACTTCCTCAGAAAGTGATTCTATGATTTCCCAATTAATGCTTCCAACTCATTACTTTTTTTTCTCTTTATCTGAATCTATTCATATCATAATACATACTAATACCTAATAGCAAAGACATTGTTTCTTTAAAATCCTGGAGATACATCCTGAGAATCTAGGAGAATGCAGAGCACCAAAGAAATAGTTGATAAGTAATTTTTGAATGAATTTATTAAATAAAATGGACAGTACTTTGTGGAACATTATCTAAAGGAGTGAGACATTGTTCTGTTACCAGAAGCATCTAGATCACACACGTTTATACATGTTTACTTTCTCTACTTGGGGAAATTACTAAACACCTGAGTTTTCTCCTAAAAAAATGAGAATAATGCTGTCAGGCTGATTTGTGGAGAGGAGAAGAGATGATGAACATTAAGAACATAATCAATAGTTGGCCAACAGAAAATGTTCACTGATCGTACTGATATTTTTGATAGGGAATGTAAGAGTAATAATTCAATGCCCTAGATTCCAATGAGTCTGTTTTATCAAAGAAGAATAAAATAAAATAAATCCACCTTTCAACTTACTATTAGGGACTTTTAGAATACTCTTGAATATTAACCCCTGGGAAATGAAATAAGAACCATGGCTTAAATAGTTTAAACTCATATGGGACAAAACAATAAAAAATGTACAAAAAAACAAAACATTACATTGGAAAAGAAATCGATCCAATGACTTAATGCATCTTTTTATGATTTCTAGGGAGAGTGTGCATGTTTAATTCATTGAATTCTCCACTGTTTCTATGCTGAAATTCACTTAGATGACAATTGTACTCCTATCAACAAAATTGGACTAAAAAAAACCCACTAAGAGTTTCATTATTGAAAAATTTCCCTATATAATATATTAAAGCTCATTGACTAGATGGATCCCCACTTGCACTTTGTGTGAATTATAAAAGGTGCCCTTTCTTCTTGGCGGATGATGCACCCATCCTTGCATATGTAACTGGACTCATAGCTTGGTCATCAGAGCCTGGTCTGTATTGGAGTTTCACTCATCTCCCTGGCTGGTCTCCCTTTTATAGGGTACAGCCCAAGCAACCATATGCAGTGGTGCTGTAAGTATTAGATACTGAATAAAAGGACAAAACAGGAGTCTGAACAAAGTGAACTGAATATTGACAAAGCTCAGCTATGCCTTTCTTCAACTGATAACTTGGAACAGCATGCAGAATAAATACGACATGGTTTCTACAATGAGAAAAAAAAATTATAGTTATGTCATATTTAGCTTTATTTCACTAATGATTATTGATCTAAACTCTAAAAAAATGTATCCAAGAAACATGCTTATCAGTATTTGAAGACTGAAGTAATAGCTTGATAAACTTGCTGCAGTAAGGAAGAAAAGCTGGGAAATGGAGATAATGATCAGGAGCTGAATTTGAATTATATGGGTTAAGTGTCCCTTATTAAAATTACTTGGGACCAGAAGTCTTTTAAAATTTTTTTTTTCAAAATTTGGAACATGTGCATATACATAATGCAATATCTTGGGGATGAGACCCAAATTCTAAACATAAAATTCACTTATGTTTCATGTATGCATTATATATATATATATATAGACTGAAGGTAATTTTGTAAAATACTTTTAAGAATTTGTGCACAAAACAAAGCTACATGGTGTGGAATTTTCCATTTGCATCATTATTTTAGCACTCAAAATTGCATATTTTAAAGCATTTAAGATTTCAGATTTCCAGATTAGGAATGTTTAACCTTTATCTGCTTTTTAAAGAATGTCATCAGCATTCAACTTAATTCTAATAATTTTTACTGAGCATCCACCCCACTGTTGGGCACTGCAAACTGCAGAAAAATAAATGCAAACATTTAGACCTTGTGAAAGCCACGTCTGGGAGCACAATATGAATCTATGAATTGCTATTCCATAGATTACAGTAATAAAAATATCATAATAACAAAGAATTCAGGTCCGAGAAAGGAATCTACATACTGACAGGTAGACCAGGAGAGAAGCAGAAATGGGCAATTTCATTGGGAGCCTTCAGAAGCTTTAGCAAAGCTAACCGCCTTTAGAGGGCAAGACCCCTCTGTCACCTTAATGTAATATCCCAGTGTTTTGAATGAGTGAGAGAAAAAAAAAATATCTCAAGGGAAACAACATGAACAAAGACCAGGATGGAAGGGTCAAGGGTCTCTTTAGGGCACAGTAGACAATCCACATTGGAAGGAGTGAAGGGGACACACACAGACAGGAAGGGTGTGATCCTGGTTGGCAAGATACAAAAGAGGCATGAGGTGGACTAGAATCTAGCTGGGTGTGATCTTTTTTCTGTATTTCTATGTTTTAAGGGTAATATATTTCCTTCTGAAGGCTTTTAAATATTGTCAGTTTTATTATGCCTAAAGTGGTATGCCTTACATAGGAGAATGGGTCCAGGAGAGTGAGGAGGGAGTTGAGGAGGATGCTCTTATGTAGGGCCTTAGAGAAGCAATGAGGACTTACTGTAAGGTGGAAGTGAAGTTAATGGAGGTGAAACTGAGCAAGACTTAACAAGTGGGTTAACCAAAAAAAAAAAAAAAAGAGAGAGAGAGAGAGAGAGTTAAAGAGGACTCTGATATTTTGTATGTCAGTATTTACAAAGATGGTGAAATGATTAACAGATTTGGTAAAGCTAAAAGAGCTGTTTAGAACTCTAGGAATTAATAACGTATTTTTTTTATTAAGAGCACCTGGAAACTGGGCTATAACATAAGCAAATTTGCATTCAGATTTATGGTCGATTCTTAGATCTTTTACAACTAGTGAAGATGATATTCGTTCTTATTTGTTTATTAAACTCCAAGACATTTTGTATGGTCATGTATTTACACACATATTCTTATTTTATATTTTATAATGCAGTTTGATTTGTTGTAAATATAAATGAACTCATGTTTAATTAAGAACAAACACATAACAATAAATAATAACACTTTCATGCTTATATTTGAATACCTTTCTATTTTAGATATTTTGTATACATATACCCTTTAAAAATGTACAATTGCATTTCTGATTTTTGAAAACTATGTATTTACTTATTATGGTGCCAGGGATTGAACCCAGGACCTCATGCATGCTAGGCAAGCACTCTACCTCTAGCCTCCAACTTGTATCTTGAGATAATTATTAAACCTACAGAAAAGTTACAAAAAGAGTGCATAGTGTTTCCATATAAACTTCGCCCTTCTTTCCTAATGTCAATATATTATGTAACCATAGTCCAGTTATCAAAACCTAGAAATTAACACAGGTACTGTTGATCGATATTAATGCTATTGGCCTCTCAATCATTTTTATAAAAAAATGCACATATATAGCAAAAAAAATTGTAACCTACTGTTTATATGCTCTGAATGCTATTTTAAGCTTTCAGACAGTGAGAACTAATATGATGGATTATACTCTACAGTGTTAGCCAATGACTATTAACACAACCTTCTGCAAATGATCTCAGTACTTTATCATGTTCTCCTTTTGTGTTATTTATTTTGGATTCCAACAAACAATTTTTACCCAATATAGCTGACACAAATGTTTGTAAGTAATAGCAATTGTCAAACACATACACACACACACACACACACACACATTTAAAACATAACAGAGAAAGAGGATTGCTGTGTGTAAAATGTGAATTTCGGTTATCAATGGTAACAACATCAAGGAAATGGTTAAAATAGAGGATAAACAGATGAGTAGGCAATTAAGGACTGATGGAAATTCTTTGACATTGTTAAGGATATTATTCATGTCCCTAGATTCTGGAAGGAGTGATCAACAGTTCTGGAAAAGGAACGAGGACTTCCAAATTCATTTATAGAGAATTTCTGAGATACTGAGTTTTTGACCTGTTAACCATCATTCAACTCTGTTTGGACCTCCAGCCTCATTTTAGTGTGTTCCTTTGTTAAATACCCCCATCCACCCTGTGGCTCAAGCCAAAACCCTAGCTCTCATCCTTGACACCTCTGTAATTTCTCAAATCCAGTTCATCTATGAGTACTGCTACTTTTACCTCACAAATATATTTTTAAATCATCTCACCCTGTGTTCTTAACTGCTACCAACCCGGAGTATGGCTTTTTCTCTCACACCAAAACTATTCCAATAACACCCCAACTGTTCTGCCTGGATTTTATCCTTCTCTTCTCCAACCTCATCCCCATAGAGAAATCAAACTTAACATTTTCAAGTTATAACTCTGATCATGTCATTCCCCTCTTAACATCTTCCAAAGTCTTTTCATAGCACACAGATTGGAAACTCTCCTTTAAAAAAGAAAAAGAAAAAGAAAAAAAGGCCCAGAAGTCTCACATCAATCAGTTACTACTCATCTCTCTCAACTTATTTCTCTTTTCGCCCAGATGGGATCCGCTGCATGCAAGATGTCCTTGGCCCTAGAAAGAGAATGTGGAAACTTCTCTTTGCCACTACCTCAGACTTTCATTCCTCCTCCAGCATCTTCTTAAAGGCAATTTGTACTTCACACTATCCAAGCTGCAATAGGGAGAAGAAAGGGTATCGGGGAGTTCTCATTTTATTGCTATTATCTTCAGTGCACTTCCCACTCTTCAGTGTGGGTAGTAGTCTAAATCTGCTAAGGTGCTTTGGGTGTACATCAGTAGTCACTCTGGTAACATCAGCTGAAAATCTTGTGCTTGAGTAATGAAGTTTCCTGTCATTGCTGTGCCATCCTCAGCTTGAGATTTTCAGGATCCATTTCAAACAACTCTCTATGGTGTCCATCCTTTGTCCCAGGTGTTTCAATAGGCAGCTTCTTTTCATGCTTGTCACTGCTGGTCCAACAGGCTATATTAATATTCTTTGCACCAATAAACTCTGGAAATTCAGGCAAATATCAATATTGTAGGAGACTCTCCTTTGATCTGAAGCTAAAGCACCTAGATAATCCAAGTGTGTCATTTATGTTGTCCAGGCAGGCTTCAAACTCACTTCTACTCTTATCTCCCAACTCCAGCTCTCCAAGTGGTCTTAAAGAAAATTACTTTCCTAAAATTGAGAAAAGGGTAGGTATAGTGGTCCCTAAATAAATCTTCTTCAGAAGGACTTATTCCAAGTCTTGTATAGTTTCAATGCGTTCAGAGACACATCCTTTGAAAGTTCTGCAAGGTTTCTCAAAATCTACTTTATAATTTACTATCTTTTAAATAGTACTATTCCAATTGAACAATTTTAACATAATGCACTGATATGTACATAAGATGAAGATTTTATATATGAACAACTTTAACTCTGTTTTTAAATTAGATTTATCAAAATGAACATTGAAAGGGCATTGCAGTATCTATCTATATCTATTCATATAGATGAGCCATATCAAAAAAACTATTAAATGAAAACCAAGCTGTTTAATACATTTATGAAATGTGCTCTGTCAACATTCTTAAAATTTTTATACCTTTGAGTATTAAGCATTCCTTTCAGCCTTGTTTTCATCTTATGCATGCTTAAATATAAACCTCCAAGAAGAAGGGGTCTACGTGTACATTATTCTTTCAAAAAGAGTGAGATACTGAATATGGGTTTGGGGAGAAGATTACTAAAAAGAATCCCCCAGATAAAATATAAGATATATATCTTATATTTTATATAGTATATATAGTATTATATACTAAAATATATATTAAGTCACTATAATACTTGTATGGTAAGTTTAAAACATGCTAGTATTAATCATACAATCTAAAATCTAGAATAGATAGTGCTGTGATGGTTTTATAAGAGGCTGAAAAAAAATTTTAGATTTAGTATCTAAGTCAGCAGAGACACTTTATAATGTAGCTTATAACTTTGGCCACAGTCTACTAAGAATGATCCCAAGTGCTTTTCCAGGCTTTAGAGATTTGCTCATTTTTTTAATATTTATTTTATTGCTCCTTTTTAAAAATATTTATTTTTTCATTGTAGTTGGACACAGTACTTTTATTTTATTTATTTATTTTTATGTGGTGCTGAGGATCAAACCCTGGGCCTCACATGTGTGAAGCAAGCACTCTACTACTAGAGCCACAATCCGAGCCCCGTCCTTTTGCTTTTAATGAACCCATTTTAGCTTCCTAAAACAAATCTGAATGGTTAATTTTTGCAAATTCTCAATAACTTTAATTGTAAATATTCCTGTTTATTAAGTACGAAATAGTACAATATTTCATTGCAATGCAAGGAAGTAAGGTATAAATGTGCTATTAAGTTCATTCAGTTATTAATAAACAGATAATACTTGAGTCAAGTATTCTAATGTATATCATGATATCCTTAAAAATTTCAGTTGAATATTTAAATAGAAGACAAAATTAAATAAAATAATCTCATTGATGAATTATTTTGCTACATGAGTAGGTACACAGTCAGGGGACACACCTGTTCTTTATAGAGAATGGTCCCATGTATTGGCTTCTAGAATCATATATTCCTAGCAGAAGTAACTGAAGTTAGCATTGGTTTTTTTTTGGGGGGAAGAAAGTTGTTTCGTCAGCGTCTGAGGACAAAATGAATAAATTAATATCCCAAATATGCAATAATAGAAACCTGAATTATTTATGAAATAATGCCAGGGTTTTTATTTGCTTTATAGTATTAAGAACTGCTGTCTAATATGTTTGGTTGTAATTAATTATCTTAGAATACAGAGGGATTAAAAAGAGATTCCCACTATTCTTGAATGATATCCTCTGGAGGTGTCCCCTGCCCTGAGAATAAGAAAGAAACTCTTCCTTATGACTTGTAAGTCCTTGAGGGTGAGCAGATCCATCCAAACTGGCCTCTCTGCTTTCTGGTTTGCTCCAGCCATGATGGTTTCCTCTTAATGACTTCTAATATGCTGAGCACCTTCCTGCCTTGGGACCCTAGACCAAGCTACTACCTCTAGTGCAGTCTCTCTACCTAGTCTTCTTCCCATGTTCTCATTTTTCAAACTGATTTCATGTTTTGCCTTCTGAAGACCTTTCCTCTTAGACTTTCCTGACAGTCCCATCCATGTGAGAACTCTTTCTTGTCCCTCTTGTTATTTTCCATCATAGCACATAATCCTACAATCATTTAAAAATATTTTTGAATACAATTTTAGCACCTGAAAACTGCCAAATAGACGTGCAACAAATATTCTGTTGAACAATAAATTCTCTGAAAACCTGGGAAAACCCAGAGGCAATAAAGAAATGTCAGATGAATGAATGAATGAATTTCAGACCAAAGGACTGATTGGTATAAAATATTCTCAATATCTGCCTCATTGTAGGAAATGCCTTTTTGAGAATACAGCTCTATTAAATGTTTCATATCCACAAACAACAGTTGACAATTCATTGCAAGTTTCAATATTCATCTTTTAGAATATATACACTTTAAAAAAAATTTGGGTCTGAATATGGAAACAAAATAATGCTTTCAAGTAATACCTACATGTCCAACTTTTACTCAACTTTTGCTTTAAGTAAAATATGAGGATAGGGATCTCTGGTTTTCCATTTTCAAAATACTGTTTCACAATCAAATGTACATGCTCCTCAACTTAAGATGGGGGTTTTCCATAAGTCCATTATAAGTTGAGAATATCATTAAGAAAGAGATACATTTAACACACCCAATCTACCAAACAACACAGCTTAGTGGTTGTTTGGGAGTTTTAGCTCTCTGCTAATGTCCTGTGTTACAACATAGTATGGTACTACACATAGTTTGCCCAGGAAAAGATAAAAAATTCAAAATTTATAGTCCAGTTTCTACTCAATTCGTGTCACTTTCTCTCCATGTTAAAGTGGAAAAATTACAACTCAAATTTAAGTTGGAACCATCTGCATACACAATTGAAATGCATTGGCTTTAAATAGCAAAGCCTAATATTACCAAGGTCTATATTGTATTTTTAAATTATTAAATAGAGATCGAGACATGTGAGTCCACTTACTGGGGCACTAGCAATGATTTGGCTTTGCAAGTTGGCTTTGAAAAATTATTAAGATAGATTTTCCCCTCCAAACCACAGTGCAATATATTTTCTTTGATTAGCAAATGGTATAGTTCAGATTAGCAATGGTATAGTATAGGCTTGGTTTCACTTACATTCCCAGATAGCAATGAAAGTTTACAAAGTTTTTATTGCCTACTTAGACATTATAACTACATTAACCATGGGCCTATGATTTGGGGATAAATGAAATATTGTATATAAAGTCTCAGATATATATTACTGTGGATTGAACCCAGGGGCACTTTACTGCTGAATTAACATCCCAGCCCATTTTATTTTTTTTATTTTGAAAAGTATTGTTTTATATCTTTGATATATAAAAACGGAGCATTCATGAACAAATTTAATTTAGAGAAGAAAAATAAATCACATTTCATTCTTATTTTTTTTAATGTTACAGAAAAATTAAGAAACTAAAGAAATACAGCTAATGATTTCAGATTTTCCTTTAGGAAATCCTGGCATTCCAGACAAACTTTGATAGGATTCTTTTGATAGAACTCATTTCTGAATTTTCAGGAAGTTTATCTTTGATCTGAAAAGATATGTGTTGGGGTTGCATACAAAGCCTAAAATTAAGAAAATGTGAAACACCATGTCAGGGATGCAAATTTAAAGACTGTGTTTTTTAATTTTAGAGACATTTAAAATAGCATGGCAGTTAAACAATGATAAAATAAACTTGTAAAAATCAGCACAGAAGGTCTTTTGGTTTGCTTGCCTGTGTGTAAAATTAAAGTGACATCTATCTTTCTTTTAAGTTGTGGTCTGCTTACTTGAAATAACTTTTTGGCTTTTTAAGTGATTGCATGATGAATGGTCCAAGCTGACATTTATGCCAACATGACTCTCACTGTCCTGGCCCACTCTGTGTCATCTGAGTTGCTGTCAGAGACTTGCCCTATTTATCTCTGACCTCCACATACCAAATATGCTCTAAGTTCATTGCGGTCCAGAACATGATTTGTGCAAGTCAGTTTTGAGATGGTATCTGCCCAGTCTGAAGAGTATGGCCTGGCAGGGAGATCAGAGGAAGCAGGAATAGACTTAGAAGCTCTTTGTTGGGGAGGCCACTGCAAAGAAGAAGACAACTGAATAGCTGCCATGTCTAAAGTGTGCAAGGCCATCAGAAATTGTGTTCTGGAGGCATGTATAGGAGTATGTCTTCTGGATGTCTTTTGGGCACCAACCATCTATCTGAAGGGTTTGGGCTCATTACCCATTACTTACATATTCAAGAAATATAGCAAAAACACATTCTTTACGTTCAGAATTATTTTAGCCAACACAGGACATGTGACCTTCATGTCCTTATAGGCTGTACTTGAATTAAACTCAGTTTACTTCTTGTCACTAGAAGGAGAATTTCATTAACAATAATTACAGTAAAAATATTACTCACTGATGACAGAGAAATGTGGTGTCATAATGCTTTGAAGAAAGCAGGAAATGTTGAAATAAAATTTGGAATTATATAGTTCTAAAGGTAGAAAACTTTTCCAAACTCTGAAATTTCAGGGTTATATGAAAT